GAAATAATCTCCCAAATTTCTACAGAGATAGTGGCCAGAATGAAAGACATGATTAGTGACTCTTGAACAGAAACAGAAAAAAAAAAGCAGAGGATCTAAGGGGTAGGATGGAGTTGGGGAGTTAGCTCAGTGGTGCCATACTTGCCTGGCAAACATAAGATCCTGAGTTCATTTTATGTTACTAGGAAAAAAAAAAAAGCAACATGATGGAAACGATGAATTCCCAGTATAGGAAATAAATAAAAAGCATGGAACACATTGAAACACATATCCAGGAGATTAAGAATTCCACTGAAAGTATACAGAGCAGAGTGAGCCAATGTGAGGAGAAAATATTAGAGGTAGAAGACAGGATTTCACTTAGTGACCATGGGAAGAGTGATTTTTTAAAAATGCAAGGGGCCACGAGAAGTCAATTCAGCAGCTGCTATGCAACGAAAAAGCAAGAGATTGTGAAAACGCCATAAAAAACGGTTCATAGAAGTAATGGTGAAAAACATCCCACCAGGGGAAAAGAATTTGACATACAGATAATTGAGGAAAATAGAACTTCAACTAGCCATTATAAAAAAAAAATCAACATTGAGGCATATAGTATCCAAGATTCCAGAAACCAAGAAGAAATATTAGAAACAGAGAAAAGAAACAAATCACATACCAAGGAAAGCCCATCAGAATCACAGCAGATTTCTCAACACAAACCCTCAAGGAAAGAAGAATCTGGAATGAAGTATTTCAATTCCTTAAAGAAAATAACCTCAACCCAGAGTGGTGTACCCTGCAAAACTGTCTTTCAAAATCAATGGAGAACATACTTTTATGGCAAGGAAATTCAAGCACATCAAACCAGGACTCCAAAATATTCTAAATAATATCCCAAAAAAGACAATGCTGATCACAATAGCGTGAAGCCCAACAGAATGAAGCTATCAGGCAAGGCAAGAAATTCAATGGAAAAGGGAAAAAATTAAAAAACAAAAGAGCCCCAAACAGGAAAATGTCATGACAAGGATAAGTAACTATGTTTCTGTTATAATCATCAATGTTAATGGCTTCAATTCATCAATCAAGTAGATTGGCAGAATGGATCAAGAAGCAAGATCCAACAAAATGCTGCACACCAAGAGCACAGTTAATTCAAAAAGAAATTCATAGAGAAAGTAAAAGAATGGAAAGTAGTACTCTATGTGACAAGCACATGGAAAAGAGCAGGGATGGCTATCCTATTTGGTGTCAAAGTGAATTTCATACCACAACTAATTGAGAGAAACAAAGAAAGTCAGTACATTCTTTTAAAGGAAGCAATCCAAGAGGGAGAGATGACAATCTTAGTAAGCACTAATATAATACTAGTGGGAGACCTTAATATCCCACAGTCACAAAAGAATGCAGAATTCATACATATGTATTTTTTTCTAAGGAATACATAAGCTACTGGAAGCCCACTAACTAACAAGGCTGAGTCGAGGTGAAATGAAGTACCTAACATGACCAATAATTCATGAGAAGATTGAGTTAATTACTAAAAACTTCATAGGAATGAAATAGTCAAGACCAAAGGTAAGAAAATGGGCAATGGTAACATTTGCATATTTTGTTTATATCCATACACATTATTTTTCTTCCTTAAACCAATAAAAAATACTATTTTCAAGTACCAGGGATCAAATTGAGGATGTAGCACTTGCCATGCAGGTTCAGTGCCCCTGAGCTACATTGCTGGTCCATGAAAGGATTTTAACAAGAGAGTTTTATACCTTTCACTGCTGCCCAGACTGGATTTTTCCCTGTTGATGATGTGACTTCAAGTTGTTCAATTATGATAATTCCCCCAGAGGACATATCTGTGGGAATGGTATTCTAGATCACTTTTATTCTTATGACATCTCAGTGAATTTCCAAGCCCAGAATCCTGCTTAGGTCTCATTGGGTTTAATTAAGAAAACATCTCCCACTGAGATAAAGCAACTGAATGAGTCAATAATATGCAATGTTTGAAATACAAATAAAATGGCCAAAGTCTCTGTCCTTATATCAAGGAATGTTTACCTATACTAGTATTTACACAAAAGTTTTCTTAGCAGTAAACAAGATATACTGAAGGCATGATAGAATAGGGATTCAATTTTTCTTCAGTCTTTAATTAATTCTACACTCAACCATGTTGTATGAAGTCAGCTCACTGTACCTACTGGAAAATGCAAATACTCAGAAGCCTAGATCGTTTTTTAAAATAAAAATTCAAAATATATGTTCAGCTATTAATGATTCCTTTTCACACAAAACTCACCTTAAAAATCTCAAAATGCTTATTTAATATTTGTTAGTTTTAAGGACTAATTTTGCCTAAAATAAAGATCTAGGTCTCTGCATAATAGTTTGAGATTTCTTGAGGTTATAGGACATTGCTGATATTAGCTTAAAAAATTGAAACTGTTTCAAAAGTAATTTATAAAAAATGTCTGATGAGTCAACCTTCCTGGAAGCATGGATAGAACTGGTCATCAGAAACATCCCAGGGTGAAGCTATGGTTCCTGCATTATTTTGCTTTCTGTGTATGGAGAGATGCATTGGAGCATGAAGCTGTTATTGGTTAGGACCAAGGAGAAGCATCAAAATGTGGAATGGGGAACAATGACTCTGTCCTTGTGCAGGTAACTCAGGAAGTCATATACATGTATGACTCTCAGGGAGGCTTTGCACTATGTGCACTGATGGCATAGATACCCTTTTTTAAAAGTTTTATATGATTTTATTCTTTAGGTTGTGGGGTCCCTTGTTATTGCTAAGATCTGTGCATATTGATTACAATATTGAACATTCCTCTTACCTTTTGCAATATTATAAAAATGTAGAATCAATCTTCCTCCTCTAATAATCAGAATTCTTTCAAACTAATTGCACGTGTAACCGTTTGGAGACTTGGTGGCAGGCTTCTGTCAGTTTCTTGATATTGTCAACAGAGCTGTCTTCTGAGCATCGTTTCAAACGTTAAAAATGAAAGTAGGATTTGGCATCTGTAGAAGTTAAAGAGAGACTCTACAGAACATAATGTAATCTGCGCTCGAGTCAGCCCGCTCCTGGGTTAATTCAAACGAATGCTGTGTCAAGGAAGAGGAGAACTCAAACTGGCTTTGGACTTACGTGACCAGAGCATGTGTATCATGAGCAGAGAATTGTGTTTGGGCGCTTGCTTAAAGAGTTGTGTGGTCAACAATAGAATTTTTAAGCATAAAGACATACTGTGCGAATATACTAACAGAAGGCTGCACTATAGGAAAGAAAATAAGATGTAGACATGGAGAGAAGTCTGGAAGAGCAATGTTGAGAGTGAAAAAGATGATGAAATAAACAGCATGAGTCTAGACAGGGGCCAGAGTAGAGAAGAAAGATGTTCCATGTCGATGAAGAAGGGGCAGGGCAGAAATGATGAACCGGGTTGAAGTAAAGGTCAGTAGCGATAGAGAGAGCAGCGGTCACTTCTGCTATTATTGAGAAGAGAATATCATACTAGCGAAGATGATTCCACTTACAGCAGTTGTCTTTCTCTGCGCGCAGTGTTCCTGTTTGTTTTTCATCATCTCTTTCACCGCCCTCCTTCCCTCCCTTTCCTTCCTCTCTTCTCCTCATCTCTAAACTGCTTTTGTCATTTTATTTATTGTGCTCTTTTGTGCATTCTTAAAATATTTTGAATTGTTCAACGCGTCTTCCTGAGATTTCTATTAGCTGAGAAGTTTCTTCCCTGCCAAGGAAGTAGAAAATTGCATTTACTTTGTTCAGAAGTTAAAACATACCAATGTCTTGCTGTTGTGTTGCCTTAAATATTTAATCCATCTTTGTTTTTTCTTCTTGGTGGCAGCACAGTGAGCACTTCCATTGGCTTCTGGACACAAGCTAGTTGTGGGAGACTCATTTTTCTTTCACAGACAGTGCTTTGCTCACAGGATCCTGATTTTTTCTTTCCTTCATGGTTATTCTGTAAGACTGATAAAGTTAGGCTCCATGCTTCATCAAAGCTGAATCCTCATGAAAAGGACAGCTTTGCAGCAGAATACTCATAGTGCCCATTTAAGGAATTAAGAAGCATCCCAAAATTTCCTAATTTTACTAGTAATAATTCTTTTTGCAGGTAATTTTACTCTGAGCAGTTGCAGGAGGACACGCAGAAGGACACATGGAACAAAGGAACAACGTGACTGAGTTCACGCTCTTGGGACTCACTCAGAGCCTGCAGGGTCAGAAAATATTATTTGCTGTGTTTTTGCTGATCTACATGGTGACCATGGCAGGCAACCTACTCATTGTCGTGACTGTGGTGCTCAGCCCAGCCTTGGATTCTCCAATGTACTTCTTTCTTGGCCACTTATCATTTATGGATCTTGGTTATTCTAGTGCAGCTACCCCAAATTTGCTGATAGACCTACTCCATGTCAAGAAAACCATTTCCTTCCAAGCATGTATGACTCAGCTGTTTTTGGAACACATATTTGGTGGTGCAGATGTCTTCCTCCTGGTTGCCATGGCCTATGACCGCTATGTGGCCATCTGCAAACCCCTTCATTACATGACCATCATGAACCAACGGGTGTGTGTTCAGTTGTTGGTTTTGGCCTGGGTTGGGGGTTTTGTGCATTCTATGCTGCACCTTCTGTTTGTTTATAATCTACCCTTCTGTGGCCCCAATGTCATCGACCACTTCATCTGTGACATGTACCCCTTACTGAAACTCGCCTGCATGGACACCTATATTATTGGCCTCACAGTGGTGACCAGTGATGGGGCGATCTGCCTGGTCATCCTTACTCTCCTGTTCATCTCCTATGGGGTCATTCTGTACTCCCTGAGGAACCTGAGTCCGGAAGGGAGGCGCAAGGTCTTATCCACCTGTTCCTCCCACATCACCGTGGTGGTCCTCTTCTTTGTCCCTTGCATTATTCTGTTTGTGAGATCTCCCTGTACCTTGCCCACTGATAAGTACTTAGCTGTGTTTTACACTGTCATCACTCCGATGCTGAACCCCCTCATCTATACTCTAAGAAACACAGAGATGAAAAATGCCATGAAGAAGCTCTGGGTTAGATAATAACATGAAGGGACAGAGAATTGGATCATTTGTGCTCATTGAAGTGTTCCTTCTTTCAAAGAAGCCACATGTGTACACAGAACAGTGGAAGAGTTTTGTTGTTCTTGTTTTCTTTTCTTTCACGAAGCAATCTCACTATGTAGTTCAGGCTGGCCTTGATCCCACTATGTAGCCCAGGCTGGCCTCCAACTCACAGTGATCCTTCTGCCTCAGCCTCCCAAGTTTGTGATTACAGTGTGCACCAACATGCCTGGCTGAACAATTGCTATGCCCTGCTGGTTGCAGCACAGCCTATAATACAGTGTGAGCAAAGTTTAGTAGAAGTCAAAGTATGAAGTTCCTGCTTAAAACCAAGTAATTTCTTTTAAGATGGGCATGGGAAGACTATTAGAAATACAAAACCAGGAAACACTCCACTTGATCATGGGTTGAATGGATGCATCATAAGTGGTATATTCACTTGGGCAGTGAGGTACAGCAGGGCAAAATTTAGGTCTAAAATGATGTGCAACCATGTGAGAAGATCTTAGGAAATGAAATTATAGACACAAAATTCAGAAGACAGTGTCCCACACAATATAATTTTAGTAAAGGCAAGTGATAAGGAAATCTACATGAAATAATTTCAGAAAATATGCATTTGTATATAAACTATTTTGAGTTATTAGTCACAAAAACTTTAGCATTGTGATTACTGGAGAGGACTGGAACCAGGAAGATCCATACCAACATCTTCAGTGCTACTAAAAGAATATTTTAGCTGAAAGACAATAAAATGTATAAATAACTTGAATATACTATTGCATATGAATGAAAATTACATTTTAAAGTCACAGAAGATCTAAAGTATATATTTAGTTAAAAAAGGATTTCTAGACTTCACCGATGCTTGCCCCTGCTTATTTGTATCGGCCTGATGTGCGTTGGGACTGAGAATGAACTTCACTGCTCTAGGGACCTAGGCTAGAGGAGTGGACCTTACCGGCTGTTGTAACAGAAGCAAAGAACGGGGTAACTACTGAGGTGATGGGTATGTCAACTTGACAGGCTTCTGGAACGCTTTTATTACCTATATGTATCCACACTATCAGATTGCATATATTAAATATGGAGAAATAATTTTTAAAAAGAGAATTCTTACAAGTCATAGGTGATGTTTCCATATAGCGACAAAAGTAGTTCCATCCTCTTCCTGAGTTGTGGCAGACCCCCCCAACCTGTTTTTTCTTTACTATGTAAAATTGAAAGAAAAATTTTCATCATAACAAAACAATATTTCTAGTCTATGAATAAATTATTGAAATTGATTATAGCCTTTTGGGACAAAGTTGCATGGTGAACATATTGCCTTACCAATTACTTCAGCTTCATAAAGGCAAAATAAGAAATACCTGTTGTGTGAACTATAAGAAAATTGCACACGTTAACTAATAAGGAATGTCATAAAACTTGTTTTCAAATTGGCTTATCATGTTTTTCTGAAACAATGCATCTGTCTTGTAGTAAAGAACTACCATTTGGTTTCCTCATGAACCCCATTCCATCTAACACAACTCAGTGATAGTGTCTTCAGCTAAACACACTGTCACCTGCTATCAAAACACCTGACTCAATGTATAGACATTGAGCTGAGGAATGGAAGTCATCATAAAACAAAGTGCATAATGCAGATACACAAACCTAGTCTGCTAATAATAACGAACAATACCAGTACAAACTTCTCTTTTAGTCCCCCAAATTTGTCACATTAGTTACATTCTTTTCTTATGAAGGTAGGTGATATTAAATCTTGAAAGATAGCTTGTTTTCCATCATTAAAAAGATTGCTAGTTTTTTTTAATAAGGCCAATTTCAATCTGATTTGAGAACAGTAAATTTACAAGTGAATTTTGACTTATCTTTACTTGCAACATGAAAAAAGCCTATACGTCTTATATACATTTGAGGGATTGTTTACTAGACTGATTCAAATCTCAAAAAATATTTGTCCTGCTTTCTCCAAGGTTTTATAAAATAAAAGGAAGCATATCTGGAAATTCCATCAAATTGGCTTCTGTGTTGGAATTCACTGCTGCTTGTTCTTTCAGAGTTAGTAACACATTGAATGCAGAGACCTACCTATTGCATCGGTGATTCAGATCTTACAACAGAGTTTTTCCATAGAATTTTGGATCTCTGAATTTCTCAAAGTGTATATTAAAGGATTTAACATAGGAGTAATCACTGTATAAAAAAGGGTTACGAATTTATCAAGGGGAAAGTTGGAGACAGGTCTAATATACATGAAAATTAAGGGAACAAAAAAGAGGACAACCACAGTGATGTGGGAGCTGCAGGTAGAAAGGGCTTTGCGCCTCCCTTCCTGACTGTGAGTCTTAAGGGAGTTGAGGATGATTCCATAGGAGATGAGGAGGAGGATGAAGACCACCATACAGATGGCTCCACCATTGGCCACCACAGTGAAGCCAATCAGGTAGGTGTCAGTGCAGGCAAGCTCCAGTAATGGGTACATGTCACAGATGAAATGATCTATGACATTGGGGCCACAGAAGGGAAGATTATACACAGACACAAGTTGAATCACAGAGTGTGAAAATCCTCCAGCCCAGGACACTACCAAAAGAAGGATACAAACTTGGCTGTTCATGATGGTCAGATAGTGCAGAGGCTTACAGATGGCCACATAGCGGTCATAGGCCATCGCCACCAGAAGGAAGACCTCAGCACCACCAAACAGGTGCCCTATAAAGAGCTGGCTCATGCAGACTGGGAAGGAAATGGTCTTCCTATCACTGTGCAGGTCTATCAGCAACTTGGGTGAGAAGACAGTGGAATACACTGCATCCATGAGTGACAGATAGGCAAGGAAGAAGTACATTGGGGAGCCCAAGGAGGGGCTGGCAAGGACAGTCACCACGATGAGCAGGTTGCCCAGCACTGTCACAATGTAGATGAGTAAAAATATGACAAATAATGTGGTTTGTGCACTGGGATCCTGAGTGAGGCCCAGGAGAATAAATTCTGTGACATTTTTCCCCATTCAGTCTTCTAGAAGACTTGCTTCTGAGGTGAGAATTCAGGAGAACAGGACCTGCCAGGAAATAGTGAACAGGACAATGACAGAGTCTCACAGACTGTGTCTTCATCACCATATCTTCCACAGTGGTGGACACTCACTGACAGTGTGCTAAGACTCGAGTTCCTTGTCCAAAGAGCCAACGGCATGTTGCTTTACTGATGCTCTTTCCCATTGCATGATTTTGTTTGGCCTGCATGTAAGCATTTTTATCTCACAGCCTCAGCGCACTTTGGAAGAGTAGAGTGAAGCCATCACAATTATTCATGAATTTGCTCCTTTTTAAAAAATATGTTACTTCTTGGAACTAAATTTAACAATGACAAAGAAAAGGTTGTTATTTTCTAGCTACCTACTCTTCTGTCCATGGAAATGAGTCTTACATATTTAAGGTAACAGAGCGAGCTTTGATATTTGAAGTATTAACAGGGAGCAATTTTACCATACGACGTGTTCAGTCCCCAAACTAACACCAGTTCTGCAGCACCCAGCTCAGCACTGTGCTCTGGCAATGCTCGACGGCTCCCTTGCACATCTCAAAGGATTTTCAGTCTGCGTATATCTCTCACTGAATTTTACAGGACTGGTGCTTGAATTTATCTGGAATTACAAAATTATTGAGCACATTACTTCCTGTAGCATTTGCTTTATCTGATTCCAAGTGCCAGCCTTTTAGGAGCTATAATTCTGTCCATTTCATCCTTGCTTATACCAATTTCTATTATGTTTACATATGCTGTTCAGATTTTTAACAAATCTTTTTCTAGAAGAATCAATCTAGCCCCTAAGTGTCACCAAGCAGCATTATCAGTTGTTATGTAATTTTTTTCAAAACTCTTGCCTCGAGATAGATAGTGAAAGGGGATGGAAACAGAAACTGAGAAAGAGAAAACATCTGTCATGGTTTCATACAGAATGTTTCTTAGAACTCAGAGTTTTCAGAAATAGAATTTCTCTGTGTGGACTGTAGTACTCTCAAGGGAAAAGTCCACGCCCAGAGTAAGAAGGCAAAGAGTGGTTGTCATTTTACTAAATATGATTATGAATATGTCTCATTTTGCACATTAAGAAAGAAAAGAATTTAGATAATCTCAGAATCCTTTCCAGTCCAAATGAATACGACAATATCAGTACAACTGAACATCTTTCTATTGTATCAGCATTTTACTCTTTTTTATATTTATATAACATAATGTGGACTTATAGCCTGCTTTTTAAAATATGCTGTCCAGTAGTACCGGGTTAGATACCTGCAGTGAAGAGACAATGACTCTCAGTGTCTCACTGATTGTGTGCCTCGCAGGACCAGAGACATCCTCGGGAGGGGGCATAGCACAGCCATGGGCAGGGTCGACACGGAGCTGCAATGCTTGTTTTGCAATCCCAGGTTCATTCGCTTACTATCTAGGTGATGTTGGACAGTTTAGTAATCCTTGTTCTGCCTCTATCTCATCATTTTAACCATCAGACACTCCGGTCATCTTCTGTTTTTTTTTTAAGTTATTACTGCATGTAAAAGGTTTAGACAACAACTAAAATCTAAATAAATGATATCTATTATTAGCACTCAGTGCTTTTCCATGAGCATTGGATCAAAATAAAAAATTAGGATCTCTGCTGATCTAATAAGAATTATTGACTTATTCCACAATTTAAAGAAGACTGTAACTGTAACACATAAATGTTTTAGGGTATAAAAGTCAATGTCATAGGAACCATCTCTTTCCTTATATAGAAGTACTAGCCATGATTACCTGCGACCAAATGCATTTGGACTAGAGGGAAACAAGCAGACATAAAGACATTGTGGTCATTCATGTGTTTAGTAATTTTTTTCTTTTAAAAGTATTTTATAAATAGATTTGATAGTGGAGGAAAATGTGCAGAGTCTAAGCCTTCTTTGGAAGCCAGCTGTGGGTGAACCTCAACATGTCCAGTACACAGTTCTACTTTGGTCCTACTAGACGGTCTACAGGTGTTGCAGGTGTAGACAAAAAGGGGCTGAAAATGTAGGGGAATAAAGTAATTGATGTCCAGGTCGCTTGTTTCACATGATGCTTTCTGCAATGTTAGGGCATTACTTATCTCATTATCTCCTTTATCATTATCTCATTATTTATCCATGCTAGATTTCACAAGGTCAGATCTATTGGCCAGTTTAGTTGCTTGCATAATAGACTAAGATAGAGTACTTAAACTCTACTGCATATCAGAGTTTAGTATTTCAGATATTTAATACCACAAAGGACAGTACAATAGTGCTTTCAGCTTAAGCCATTAAGCTAACACTTTCTAGAAATAATTAATACAGCTTTTAAGAGAATTTTTTTCAAAAGACAGTAACAGTTTTATAAATTTAAGTCACAGATTTTTCTTTGGTAATAGGTTTCTCTCTTGTATGCATTCTCACATCTTCTGGGATATTAGATTCACACACAGAAGCCCCTCTCAAGCTTCCAGCACAAAATAAACATTTGTTCACATACACTATTCATACTCCTGGTGTGATATGCAAATTAAAATGTTCTAATTCAAATATACATAGAATTAATCATGTGCTGTGTTACCTTATCATGGACAATATAATGTCTCACATACTAAAGCAATGCATCCATTGGTTTGTTATATATGTAATGTATTCAACGTGTTACTTCACAAAAATGGAAGGTAGACATTGATCAGGCTTTAACAGGAAAACCAAATATACTTTGTGCATTCTGATTAATTTTCTGTCTTTTGAAAGCTTAATTTTCCTAAGTAGATACTTATTATTAGAATATAAGACCTGGAAGAGATTGGTTGGTTTTCTGTGAATCACAAGAATGTTCAAGTAGCTTCCTTTCTCCAGGAAAAATTTGAAACCTGCCCTTAGCCCAGAAAATCAATGCCTCTTTCACGGAAGGTGACTTCGGGTACCTCGTATCCCTGTGTGTCCTCAGACAACATGGCAGTGTACAGCTGCCCAGGGGGTTCAGAAATAGCACCAAGTGGCTACAGTGAACACATTTCCACAACAGGCTTCCTGTTATCTCGACCTTTTAGAAGTGCAAAAGTGTGCAAGTTAATATCAATATGTGTTGTGCAAATGTAATTAAATAGTCTCACCTGCTTAGAAAACATCTTCATAAAAATGCTAACTTGGCGCAGTGATGTCAAAACTTTACCTAAGTAGCGTAGATTAGTTGATCCAAATCCATTATTCAGAGACACAGACACACAAACGTTTAAAGCACAAAAATTCGTTTAGTGCAGTTTTCCCTTTTTACTCAGTTATGGTCACAAACTGAAAAAGACTCTGCTTTCACAGCTTACAATACCACTGTGGTACCTGGTAAATAAACGGTGTACCTAACAAGGCAAAGGCTGATGCTTAGTTCCTTGGAAATGGTGATGATAAAGGTATCTCACAAGCAGAAGCAGTACTTTTCCGTCTTGTAGCCATCCAAGTGACTTTTCCCAAGGCCGCTTTTTTTTTTTTTTTAAGGCATTAAAGACACTGTCCCTGGATCTTCACAATGTCATCCTAGAAACTGAGTATTTCCACCGGTTTTTATAAGCAATGATAATGCAACAAGAAAACAAGACACACCCAGGCCTAGATCCCAGCTGAACACAAATGCACGCTTGGGCAGAGTTTGAGTTTTCAGGAAGCTCTTGGGTCATTCTAATGGGAGAGAAGTTCTTCCACTTGTATGTGCAGATACAGTCTATGACTTTTTCCATGACCACTGTTTTAATAGATCCACTTATTAGATTATTTGGAGCAGATTCAAATGACATAATCACTTCTGAACAGGTTTCTTCCTGTGAAAGTCCCTAGGGGGTGAAGGCTAGGATTTTGTCAAGAAAGTGTAGCTGACTGACAAGTGATATGAAGACCTGTAGTGTAAGAAGGAAATTTCAGAGTAATGATTTGCAGGCTCTGAGGTGCACAAAGTATTTAGGTCAGGCAAGCAAATGTGACCAGCATGAAGGAGAAGCAGTTCCGGTTCCGTCACCCACCCCACCCCAGTTGAGGACAGCCTCGCTGTAGCTCTGAGAAGGGTCTGCTCAGCGAGCCCAAGACTAGGAGCAGGGAGCTGTGCACTGGAGAATCTGCCACAGCTGACCTGATTCTTGCAAAGAATTAGATTGATCATTGTTCTGTACTGTTAGTTGGAGTGGAAGCCTGTGCTCCAAGTCTGAATCTGTGTCAGATGAAACCGTATTCTGTTAATTCAGTACCTTAATTTTAATCCAATATTAATTGAATAAGTGATCCTAAACAAAAGTTACTTTACAAAGAGAGCAGTGCTTATTTCTTCCCTCTTACTCACCTATGTTGGCTTTGCTGCACATGCCCTGAGCTTGTCTGAATATGTTTGGTTACACATTAAATATTCTGTGTCATAAAGGCTTTTGATGCAGGGTCACACATATAACTCTCCGAAGCAGCAAAGCAATTTAAAGAGGAGACTTCTATCATGATTTTTTTTCTCCAAGGGTCATTGAGAAACACACTGTTAATTGTGAAGCATATCAGGATTTTCTGGCAAAATGTATGAAAGTTAAAATTTTCGAAGTATTTTCTTACTTGAAGAGATACAAAGGATGTTTAGCACCCATAAATTCTCAATTTTTGAGTAATAATTTAACCCAGAGAAGTTGTATCATGTTAGGTGGTTTTAACAAATTGAAGGTACATCTATATATACATCTTTTCCTACTTAGCAATTAGAGAGGCACGATGATTAGAGGTGCACTTTCTGTTAAAAATAGTACAGGTTACATCTGAGGTTGCTGCATTATGCACCTGTTAGGTGTTTTAAAACCTTCCAAATTCTACTGGAGCCCATCACCTGGTAAAGATCTTTATCTGGTTCAGCCTTGTATGTTTGTGATCCTGTAACTTGGGAATTCTGGACACACAAGATGTAATATCTAACTAACCAGGGCAGTAGGAGCTTAGTCAAGCCAATGGAAAG